AAATAAATAAATAAATAAATAAATGAAAAATCCGCAAAGTCGAGGCCACTTTTTCCTCTGTGCTTCTCTTAAAATGAAGCATCTTTTGCAAAGGTTTTTCGTTATGAAAATGTTGGTAAACATCGGAAGATGAGTTTGTTACTGGTACAAACACCCTTGATGCTAAACCACATCGACAGACACCATAATAGACCATTTTACAACTTTCTGCTCAGTGACCTGGCCTTACAAAAGCAGCGAGGCTGAAGGTGACATTGTTTTGATACAGACCTTACTGCCTTTGCTGTGTAAATCGAGTTGTTCTAATTCTAACTAGGTGCATTTACATGACAAAAGCGGAGAGGTCTGTATCAAAGCAAGATCACCTCCAGCGTCGCTGCCATTCAAAGGCCAGGTCACCAAGCAGACAACTGTAAAATGGTCTATTCACCCTCCCCTTTGAAGGTCTGAATTTGCTCCTGGTTTCACGCTTTATGAAGAATGAAGAAAGAGATCTTTTGGTCCTGCTGTCTGCGACCGTTTTGAAAGATCCAACCCCCCCCCCCCCCACCCTCCACATTAAACAGTTTAAAAGGGTTACGATTTGTTGTTTACTTCTTGAGGATTTTGTTCCTTGATAGATTCGGATTCTAAGTTAGCTCGTTGGGTAACACTAGAAATGAAAAGCCTACAACGGTAGGAAGTGTTACGAGACGACGAGCCGACGAGCCACCATTTTGAAAATCGTCCAGGAGAAGATCCTCGGACGAGGTTGCAAAGTGAATGGAACAGCGGAGCCTAGCTATATTGCCATATCAACAACTCACACGAACTCTAACAGACAGTTACGGGTAAGTAGACAAAAAACGCTGGAGTAAATGTGTTTGTTTATATTTCATGATGAGACATGTCTTTCGAGTGACACGAATTTTAAGATGCAGTAATTTGTTTTAAATTTTAAATCTGAAATTTGGAAATTTATATGCTGGCCATATTTATAACTGAAATTTTCAGGGAGCAGGAACTGAAAAGAATAAATAATATTTAATTTATGCAATATGCATAATAAATCTTCTCATTGTGTGATGTGTAGAGCGACGGACAGTTTTGGAAATATCACAAATCCTTTGCTTTCCCCATCAGTGAAGGTACTTAGAAATAAGAAATACAAGACAAAGCGAGGAAATATTGTAAGGAGGGGCCTTTTTCCGTTTTCGTCATCCTTTGTTCGTCGCAGAATCTGACAGCTTGGTTCAGAATCAGCCGAGCCCGCGGTTCACGACACAGCTGTTGCTTGGCAACATGATGACGTGGGCGTATGACGCCGAGCTGACGACGGAGTGCTTGTCAGTTATCGCGCTATGTTTTGACTAGACGAGGACAATCGGAAGCTCTTCGGTATTTCACGAGGATCCGACGAAGGCAAGCTCGACTTTTCCCGACGTCGAATTGGGTTATGTCATGTCATCGCTCCACTTGATAACGCTGAAGAAAACTTGCCCGGAATGAAGATTCTTTACTGAGAATTATAAATGAAGGTGTTCTTTGTTTTACTACCAACCTGAATGTGAAGAAAAAACAAATCAGTGCCGGTCGGTTTGTACGACGTCATATAACATACCGTAAAATCCTAGTTATTACCCCCCCCCCCGTTTATAAGCCTCCCCCGGTATAGGCCCATCTATATGTCTACAAAAAACTAATACTAATCCTGTCGTAAGTCCTCCTTTACTTTGTGTACTTCACCGGTCGGGATTTGTCATTATGAGCACGCTTCATTCAACGATCTCTGCGCTTTGCGTACTTTTTTTCGTAGTGGACTACTTCTAGAGGTACATGTTTTTCACTTCTTAGAAACGACAGGTAACGATAACGTTGATACTATCGCTAGACTGAACATGTCCGCTGACTGATGTTGCCTGCATGATTAGAACCTTGTTTAACTCTTACCTGGAGTCTGAAAGAATATCTTTGAGGCAGCTATTGCTCTCTACCAAACATAACTTTTCCCCAGTAGAGTCCTCAAAATAAACCTAGAAGATGTAACGAGAGAAATACAAGATATTAGAACTAAACAACCAGAAGTAAAAGGGTAATGTACTCGCAAGGTAGCTAGGGTACTGAGCGTGAGAGGGAGAGCGTAGATGGAAGAGGGAGGGGCGGGAGAGAGAGTTCCTCCCCTTTCTCCTCGCGTGTTTTCCTCCCTACCTGGTCTCCGCTTAGGCTGCAACGCAGGCTTCTTGCAAGGGTACAGTATTTTTCCAAGATGGATAGTTGGGCACCAGGGAGAGGACACCAAGGAGAGGGCACTAGGCAATCACACAATGCAGACTAACTAGGTGTGGTGCAACTTGAAACGCCATACACAGTTGTGAAAGAGGAGGACAGAATTATGAGCCGAGATGAACGAAGACAGATAAAAGCAATTTTCAAAGGTACACTGTACGTGTATACGTAAGATTTGAATGTGGTTTACAGCGAAAACAATTCCTCGTGGAAGAGGCGATGTGTTGGAGTGGGTAAAGGTTAAGCCTGCATACAAGCCAAGTGGCCCATCAGGCCGGAGCTTATCCCAGTTTCAGTAGCATGAAGTGACTAGGAGTATTTCTACTCCCCCCTAGATGGGATACTGGTCCATTGTAGGGCTCCCCCAGCATTAAGTTCGCCGGTCACCATTTAGACACCTGGGCAGAGAAAGGCACTGTAAGAGTAAAGTGTAGAATGTCCCCAGTCAGGGCTCTAACCCTGACCACTGGATCCGGAGACGAGCCCACTAACCATGAAGCCACCGCGCCTCCTTGTGTTGGAGTGGACCGAGTGGTAATGGTGGAGTGAGGCATTCGTACATTATTTTAGCATTATTTCATTAATGAATTTTGCTAATGACTTCAAACAAATACCGGTATTTTAATGCAGTTAGTCGTAGGATAATACAGTTGTATGATTTATTTAATGCTTATCTCCTTCTTTTCAATTATTGTATTTAACCTTTGTGTTTGTGTTTACTTTAGTT